ATGCTCACAGGAGTAATAGCTTTGTCTCCTTAGAAAGTTGGCCTTGACGTAGCTGGGGAAAACTCGTTTCTCTTTCCTAGGTGACAAGCACAGAGAAACAGCTATGTGGAGAGACTAGCTGAAGTTGGGACACTCACATTCCCAGTCATTCCTGAGACTCAAGTCTGACCACCTCCCTCTCCAGAATCTAGGACAGAGCAGAAAATAGGTACTGAGTGTTGCTCAAGCCCTCACGAAGGAATGAAGTGATAGGCCCTTCCTGGTGATGCATGGAGGTTTCTGAGGGAGGTGGGGAATTCCTGGGAGGAATGACCAGGGGGTGGTGTGGAGAGAGGAGCAGAGCTGGGAGGAGACGCGTCAGGAAAGGAAGGACCGTGCTCACTTTAAAGGTCTTGTGGAGGAGAGACAGTGCTTGTGGGATTTTCACCTTAGCCCTGCTGTACTTACTCCTTTGCAGTGTGTCTGGCCATGCAGCTATCTGTTCATTTATGCAACAATCCAATGTGGAATGACTGCCAGGCATTGTCAGGTGCCTGGGTACATGCTGAGGGAATAAATAGGTTAAAGTCCCTGCTGTCATGTAGCAGTTGTTGGGGCCAGGGTGGGATCAGAACTAGGAGAGGTGATTTCAGACAAAGATAAAGACAATGTGTGAGGGGTGGACTGGGGACAAAGCTGCTTTGGAGAGAGGGATCCAGGGAGGCTGCTCTCAGGAGGGATCTTTAGGCTGAGATCTGAACCATGAAGAGGGGCTGGCTTTGAGAACTTTCACCCACCGGGCTCTTGTGTCATCTTCTGGGCATCCTGTCAGCTGCCATCCTCCCTAACTCCTCCTGGAACACAGGAAAGGCTCCAGGTGACAGAGAAAGCAAGGCAGATCTGTGGTTGTTCCACATGGACAGGTCAAAATGGGCTCATGAGGCACAGTAGCTTTAGTCTTCTGTTTCCTACATTTCCTCCATCCTTGTTCTCCTAGCTAGGGGAACATCCTTGGCAGAGTCATGACCAATTTTTGCATAGAAAAACATGTCATGGCATTCCCTATGACCTAAGAGTTTCTACTGTATTTGTCATCTGTTCTGCCAAGTCAAAAATAAAACGCTGGATTAAAACAAAACAAAAGGGCCAGCCAGTAATACGGAAGTTATGGTGGCTGCATCCCACATGGCTCACTGTGTGGTTTAAGTCCTAGACCCTGTGGCCTGAAAAACATGCTGGGTGTGTGTAGATATGCATATCCAAAGTTCTGAGTGGAGAATAGAGAAGACAGGATTGCAGCATGGGGGATTTCATCCTCCCTCAGGGTTCTTTCCCACTGCTCTTTCCTTCTCTGGCAAGCACACTCACCCTAGAGCAAATTAAAACAAAACAAAACTATTCAAGATGACTGGAGAGCTACTGAGGTGGTAAGACTTTGAGGAGAGGCAAAATGCTGGGGAGAAGAAGCATACTGAGGTAACTCAATAAGCAGCTCTGCCTTCACCAGACATTAGCTGATTTGTGAGTGGAAGCCTAGAAGCCATGCAGTTGAGCAAAGCTTTTAGGTAGTCTTGTGGGACTTTCGGAACAAAAACAAGTTCAGGTCCAGCCAAGGAGGGCCCTAGTAAACATCCTTGACCTTAAACTGGAACATCTGAAAAACTACAGTATAAGGAGTAAGACCAAACAAGAAAAACACTAGCTTTAATAAAGACTGAACCCAGCTATAAATCCACTCAATCCCAGATAAGAGAAAGATGAATTGCCCCTATCTTAACTTCCTGCCAGAAACAAAAGCAAATTCTCTGTGGAGAAAAATAATATCACCTGGAATCTCAAATGAGTTCTACAGTCTTTATTACACAATAGCTGTCATTTAATGAAAAATCACCTAGAATACCAGGATTCAAATGCAATGACTAGGAAAAACAAAACAAACAAACAAACAAACAAAAAACAGAGACAGAGAGAACTGGTTTCTAAAGCTGAGAGCAGTGTTATGTGCCTTTAATCCCAGTGTTGGAAATACAGTGAGACCCTATCTGAAAGAGCCAGGTGTGGTAGTACACACCTGTGGTCTCAGCTACTCAAATGACTAAGGCAGGAAAATTGCAACACAGTGAAATCCTGTCTGAAACACCACACACACACAAATGATCTCAGTTATAATAGCATTGAAAATCATTCTGATCAATATGTTGTAGAGAATATTCTAAAGAAAGTCTTGAGAAAAAAATTAAACAATATGGAAACAGAAGTTCCAGAGAAGAAAAACTCTGAGATGTAATACCTTAGTAAAGGAGTTTAATGGATTAGATAGTACTGAAGAGAGGATTAGTGAACTGGTACATAGATCAATAGAAAATAACCAGACAGAAACATTAAGAGAACCAAGCATGGGAACTACAGAAAAGATTACAAGTGATATATGGAATAGAGCAAAAAGATTTTAACATATCTAAAGTCTCAGAAAAGAAGAGAAAGTATGGCATGAAAGCAGTAACTGAAGAGAGAATGGCCTAGGATTTGCTATAACTAACAAATAAAATCAAGTTACAGATTCAAGAATCACAAGGTAGATGCAAAGAAACTCGTACTAGTCACATAATGGTAAAACTACTGAAAAGCAAAAGACAAAAATAAAATCTTAAAAGCATGCAGAGGAAAAAGATACATTACTTTGGAAACAGCAGAAATACGACAGCTTACTTCTCAGAAGAAATATCAGAAGCCAGAAGACAACAGAAAATCTTCGAAGTGCTGAAGGAAAATAGCTGGCAACCTTGAATTCAATACCCAGAATATTTAAAAACATAGTTTAAAAATATACATTATATAAAAACTAAGAAAATTCATCACCAGTAGAATCATATTAAAGTAAAAAGTAATGGTTGTTTGGAACCAGCAGTTAGCGTAATGGCTAGGTTGCTGGACTCCTATGTGGTCAACCGTGGTTTGAGTCCTGGACCCGGTGGGTTAAACTCACACTGGGCGCGTGTGCATGCGTGCCCAAGATCCCGAGAGGAGAATGGAGGAGAAGGGATTGTGGCGCATTCATCTTCCCGGGGTGTGATTTCTCGCTTTCTGTCTTTCTGGTGAGCACACGCACCCTATAGCAAAAACCTCTCCAAAAAAAGGTAATGATTGTTCTTCAGGTAGAGAAAAACAATTCTACTTGGATGTATGACTATATAAAAATGAATGAAAAACAAAGGAAAGGGTACTTTGGGCTAGTAAACCCAAAAGAGTATTTACTGTATAAAATAAATAGTAATAATAATGTCTTATGGTGTTTTATATATATTTTAGAAAATGACCTATATGCTTCTTACAGAAGGTATCATAAACATAAAGATGAAAAAATTTTGGAAGTAGACAGAAGAGAAGCAGAGACACCTGTTGTGGTATCTCTCTAGGAAGAAAGGTCAAAAAACTTGAATAAATGTCTACGTTTCAGGCAGAGAAGTGAGGTGGGACAGACAAAATTCAAGAAAAAACTGGGAAGTTTTAGGACCACCAAATCATGTGTTGGAGATGTAAAGAGGGAGTCAACTGCTGAACTCAGAAAGGCTCAGAGCCCTGCTGGCCACAAGGGAGAAAGGGAGATGGACTCTCCTCCAAAACTTCAAACCCCACTTCCCAACTGCAGGAGAGTAATGAAACTCACAGGGAGCTGGCACTCCTTGTTGGAAATTGTATGGATATACCACCTCAGGGCAAACACTGCCCTGGGCCCAAGCCCCAAAGCTCATCAGTATCTGAAAAGCTGATGCACACATGGAGTATAAAATACAATCAGTATCAGGCAACCTGGTATCTCCATAGCCCTGAGAGGACAGAATACAGCACAGAGGAGTCACCCTGTGATCCAGATAATTGAGGCGAATACCCCTGATCAAAGTCTACTGGTCTCTCTTAATGCCAGAGACTAAGAACTGTTCATCCACCATGGCTCCGCCCAAAGTATGGCATACAAGACAGCCTCCTCAGCAGTCCAGGTACTCCCCCCAACTGGCTAGCAGGCCTATGTGCTCTCTGCCCCTCAAATTCAAGACACTGGTAGCAATATCCAGCCCTTCATGAGTTCTAATGTTGAGCATCAGTACTGTTAGGTTCAGGGAGTATTGCTGCTGAGAGAAGAGTCCACAGTTTCCCAAATAGCCATCCCAGGACTATTAATAATGGCCCCTAATTAAAAACTGTCAAATGTTCATCAACAGCGGAAAAGATGAATAGTGATATACCCATGTGCTGAATAAATAGATGAATAGCAATATATTCAAATTCACAGCAATAACATGTATCACTCAGACACACTTGAGAGAAAGAAGCAAAACGCAATGGGTGTAAACCCCATGGATGATGTCTGAGATTAGGAGAGATAAAGCAAGGTGACTGTGCAAAAATAGAGTGCTTCTGAGTAGGTCTCAATCACATGGCGGCATGTAGCGCGTGAGATGGCCACCTATATGTTGATTTGTGCACTTTTATACATATGTGTGTAATTCAATAACAAAGATTTATTTTAAGATGTCTCTGGGGAACCAGCAGTTAGCGTAATGGCTATGTCGCTGGACTCCCACGTAGTCGACCGTGGTTCACATCCCGGACCCGGTGGCTTAGAACTCACACTGGGCACGTGGGGGTGCGTGCCCAAGATCCCGAGAGGAGAATGGAGTTCTTGAGAAGGGATTGCGGTGTGACCATCCCCCCTGGGGGGTGATTTCTCACTTTCTGTCTCTATGTCTCTCTCTGTCTGTCTGGTGAGCACACGCGCCATAAAGCGAAAACCTCTCAAAAAAAAAAAAAAAGAGAAAATGTCTCTGTGTCTGCCTATTATTTTGGGGGAAGTCACTCCATATTTTGGAACCCAGGTTCCTGTGCCATTAAAATGCTGCATGGATTAGAGATGGTCAATGGGAAGCTTTGTGTAAAGTTCAAACGTACAGAAATTAAAATGTGCACCTCACCGACTCGGTGCTCAGTAAACATTACATGAAAATTAAGTCTAAGGAAATTACCTCTTGTGATGTGCCAGATGATTAACATGCTTCTTTTGGATTTATCCTCACTACCCAATTATCTGAGGAAACTGGAGGCTCACAGAGGGCAAAGTGGCTGATCTGAATATACCGTATCCTAAAGTGGTCAGGCTGTAGTCTGCTTGAGAAAAACGCTGGTCTCAGGCCCGTCCTCTGCGCGGGGTCCACCACCCACCCCTGGCAGGTCAACGCCCCACTGGTGCCCTCCAGCCGTGAAAGGTTGGTTTCACCCCCTCAAGCCTCCAGTTCCTTCTGGCTAAGATTCCAGATAGGCCGAGCCAGTGTGGTTTGTGGCTCTGAAGTCCTCCGCACCAGCCACGAGAGGACCCCCAAGGATCTGGGTCCTTTCCCCGGTCTCAGTTCTTCACCCCAAGTGATACAGTCCCCAAACTCTAGCACCACTTTCTGGATAGCAGGCCCGCCATCCCCCCCAAAAGCACCGCTTGCTCCCCCTCTCAGCTTTCCTCACCCCCAACCTCCATGAAGCGTGATCCTCCTGACTCTCCGTCCTTCCAGCTCACAGCATGCCGGCTCCCCAGCTCCCACCCTTAGATTTCCCGCCCCATCCAAGTACGAGGCCCACTCGTTGGAAGTACAGTGCTTAACCTGCACCCCGGCCCGCACAGGTACCTGGCCTGTGTCCACTCCCCGCCACTCCACCCACGGTGGTCCAGAGCCTGGCCCGGCCTCTCGCCCACGGCGGCGCG